CTGATATGCATGATCACCATTCTTGTTGAAACTAACCTGGGATACTCTACACGTTGTGGGGAGTATTCTAAACTAAAGAACTAAGATTATAGTACTCTAGGTTATGTGTTCTTGATCTTAAAACAGAAATGGCCATGGAACCAACCTTCATATAATGCCTTCAAACTCATCACAATTCATCCCTAAGAGTCTCTAATCACCTTTATCTTAACAACAAGTTCTAAAACTGAATAATTAAAGGGATTCGAATGGAGTTGCTTACCTTGCAAGTGATGATGGCTATGGTGGTTAGCTTTCAATTCAAGCCTTGATACTTGCTTCAAGTGATCTTCAATGGATGCTAGTTCTTCTGTTTGCACTAGTTCTTGCTAACACTTCTTGAATCACTCTATCCAATTCTTCATGCAACTTGGAGTGAAGACTTGGATCTCATGAACCAGCCACGAATTCCTCTCAATTTTGTTTGCCAATTGCTCTATGATGATGGTAGATGATGATGATAACAAGAATTGTGATGATTGATGAAGTTTTAATGGAGTTTGAAAGCAAAATGCAATTTGGAGTTATGGAATCAAACTATGTAATGCAAGCACTCTCAATCACCAACCAGGGCATGGATCACCTCTAGGGCATATATAGGTGTCAATGGAAATGTGTGGAAGCTTTGAGAACCTTCCAAGAAGTCTCTAGAATGTATCATGCAATGAGAATTTGAATTTTCTATATTGAGTAAATCTCATGCAATCTCATGATAAACCATGCAATCCCACTTAATTTCTCCTCAAATGATATTATGATATGAAAACAAGGCCTTACAAACCCTTATATAGCATTTTCTCACTTTCTCTTTTGGTGCCTTAAAATGCAAGAAACAAATTTACAAAGCAACTCCAATTTTTAAGCCTAAAATCAAAAATGTGGATAAACCATTGTTTTTAAAATGATGTTTGGAGTCAAAATGACATATTGGATGACCCATTTTGGATTTGTAGATCTCTCAAACCAAAATTCCATTTCAACTTTTTTAACTTATAAGCCATTTACAAGCCATTTGCACCACTTTTAAAAATCCATGCTCTAAGCTTTTCCAAACTTTCACACCCTCTTTTCTAGGCTTAAAATCCCATTTTGAACAACTTTTATGTTTTGAGTTTTTCCATTTGAGGCTTGGAACTAGGAGATATGGCCTTTGCTTAAAATGACCTATAACTTCCAAATGACCAAAATACCCTTGTCTTGTTCAAACCATAAGTTGAGCTCTACAAATCCTATCAAGGACTTATAGTACTCTCTAGAAAGCTAAGAAGATGCTCTTCAACATTCATGTTTACCAAGAGATCATAGGAATCATCCTACTAGGGCAAAAGTTGTCTGCAAGTTGGGTGACTTTCAAGGACCCAGATTCACATACCTCAGATGACCTGTAATTTGTCAAAACCATAACTTGAGCTCTGCAACTCCTATCAAGGACTTCTACCACTCAAATTAAAGATAAGAACAAGCTCTACAACATTCATGTTGTGGGGAAGATGAGATATCAATCACATCTTGAGCTAAAACTGCCTGGAAGATAAGGATCAAATTAGGGTTTTTCACTGACAATCCCTGGAAACCCTAACTCAAAACTTCTCAAACTCCTCATTCATGATGAGTTGGTCTAGGAATCATATTTATAACATCTCCATACATCATTCCATGATCTCATGGCCCTTGGATTGGGTCTCAACTTTCTCCAAATCTTTAGCTGATCTAGGGTTGACCTAGTCAAAACCCTAATTCTACCATTCATGGTTAAATCTTCTGAATTCTTGCACAATGACTTCTCTGGGCTTCATGATGACTTTCAAGACATCTCATAGGCCTTCTCAAAGCTTCAAGTTCATTCTCAAAGTCTCAGAATCATCTGAGGAGCTCCCACAACTCTCAAGCTAAGCAGGACACAACTCTGGTTTCAAACAATTTCTCTGAGGATCTCTTGAACTTTCTGATGAAGGTATCAACTTTTAAACACTTGATGGGTAAATAACTGTTGGTTAAATTTTGGGGTGCAACAACGAGTGCACAACTTCTGCGAAGGATCTAACTTGGGGCACCGAGAACATCCACATTTGTTCTGACCATAGCATCATTAGATACCGATTGTCGGGAAGTCAAACATTTTCACCAAATAAAGTCCAGTCTTCATTGGCAAACATTAAAAGTCCAACCCCGCTTGGCGTCTCCTAAAGTACAATTTGTATTGGCAACCATTCAAAGTCCAACCCCGCTTGGCATCTCCTAAAGTCCAACCCTGCTTGGCATCCCCTAAAGTCCAATTCGTATTGGCAACCACTAAAGTTCAACCCTGCTTGGCACCACCCAAAAGTCCAACCCCGCTTGGCATCTCTTAAAGTCCAATCCTTCATTGGCAACTACCAAAGTCCACCCCTGTTGGCACCTTCATAAGACCAATCTCCTGCTTGCATCCACATATGCATCATACAATTGACATGTATCATACGCATACATAGCACGATCATTTCCTCTTTCAACCCCCGAGTTGATATGTCTTTATTTTCTCGACCCCCGAGTCGATATTTGCCTTTTCCTCCTTCAACCCCCGTGTTGATATTTTGTTTTTTTTCCGACCCCGAGTCGATATTATCTTGTTTTTCTCGATCCCTGAGTCGATATTGTTTTGTTTTTCTCGACCCCTGAGTCGATATTGTCTTGTTTTTCTCGACCCCTGAGTTGATATTGTCTTGTTTTTCTCGACCCCTGAGTCGATATTGTCTTGTTTTTCTCAATCCTCAAGTCGATATTTACCCTTTCTTCAACCCCCGAGTTGATATGTCTTTATTTTCTCGACCCCCGAGTCGATATCGTTGTTATCTTTTTCTCTCGACCCCCGAGTCGATACTTGTCTTTGTTTCCTCGACCCCCGAGTCGATATTTGTTATTCTTCTCCAATCCTCAAGCTGACTTGTTGTTCTGATTTATCCTCGACCCCCGAGTCGATAGTATATTTTGTCCTTCTCAACCCCCGAGTTGATGTGCCAGTATACCTCGTAAATCTTTTCACCTTGTTTCACCTAATACCAAAAGTAATCACTTGTGGAAAACCAGAAATGAAGCCTTACCAATTTGGTTACCCGGCTGCATTCTCATGTGCATTCCATATCAAGCATTACATTTTCATTCCCATATACATCTTATTTCCCTAGCAGTTGCATCATTTGCATATTTGTGCATCATCGAGCATTACATTCCTGTCCCCAGCGACATGGCGTAACAGGATCCAGGATCAGTTCACGAGTATCCTGACCGGTCCTCTATCAAAGTCGGCAATATTTCTCTAAACAGAGTTGATACCTCGCACGTGTTCAAAGAATTCCATCCCCAGCAAGTCATTCTTCAACCATGCAGTTGATAATGACGATTCCCAGCAGTCGTTGCTCTGGTGGCTCCCCAAGCAGAGGTTATCTTAGAGAGTTTCTTGAAGGCTTTTCCCCTGCAGAGTTTGGACAACACTTTTCCTCTGACAGGATTTTAGCTCAATTACTCCTCAGCAAAATCATCACTCGAGATACTGCTTTGGTATCATCGAAGAGCCTTAATGGATAAGGTACTGCTTCGACCACCCGAAGAATCTCAAGTTTTGTTCGAGATACTGCTTTGGTATCATTGAAGAGCCTTAATGGATAAGGTGCCGCTTCGACCACCCGAAGAATCTCCAGTTTTGTTCGAGATACTGCTTTGGTATCATCGAAGAGCCTTAATGGATAAGGTACTGCTTCGACCACCCGAAGAATCTCCAGTTTTGTTCAAGATACTGCTTTGGTATCATCGAAGGACCTTAACGAATGAGGGACTGCTTCGACCACCCAAAGGGGATCGTTTATACCACTTTGGTATCGCGAAGGACCTTAACGAATGAGGGACTGCTTCGACCACCCAAAGAGGATCGTTTATACCACTCTGGTACCGCGAAGAACCTTATTGGGTAAGGGACTGCTTCGACCACCCAGGGAATATCAGGTTATCTCGTTCATCTATTTTGCATCTTGTCATCCCATTCAGGTATATCCTATCTCTTTGCATTTTTACTTGCTTGTCGGACAAATTTCAGGGTCTTCTTGTATCTAATTGACTTCCACCTTAAAATGAACGCTCTGCAACTGTTCATTCTCCCAGGTTCAAGGCAATTAGATAGGGGCATCTGTCATACCCCAAATTTGTCCTACCTTTTTTCAAAATTCTCATTTGTCCGACTTTGTTTTTAATTTACCTTGCTTATACAGCGTAGCGTATTTTTCAGCAAAAACGGGCATTTTTCGCTTTTTTAGCCCAATAAGGGTATGCCACGTGGCATTTGTTTTTTTATATATATACCTTTTTTTTTATATAATTTCATTTTTCTCGTGATAGGATAATATTTTGTCTTTTTATTATTTTAATTAGTTTTGAATTAGAAATTAGGATTTAAATTTAATTTTTTTTAATTAAATAGATTTAATTTAGAGCTTAATTATAATTTAGAAATTTTTAATTTTAAAAAATATAGATAAAAAAATAGAGTTAGAATTTAATTAGGATTTATTTTTAAAAAATTAGATTAGATTTTAATTAATTAGTTTAGATTTAAATTTGTAATTAATAGTTAGAATTAATTAAATAGGAAATAAGTTTTTAATTTAGTTTATTATCTCAGAAAAATAAATTAAAAGAAAATAATAAAAAAGATGAAAGTTAATTTGTTTGAGGACACGGTGGATTAGGGTTGGATCTCTGGGGATAAATAGGTCAGTCACTGTTCACCATACCCTAGGGATGAAGGGCATTACTGTTCACCCAGCCCCAAAAAACCCTACTCGCCCCAATCTCCAAGCCCTAATTTTTTTCCCTCTTCCAAATCCCCAAATCGGCGCCGCTCACCCTCGTCATTCCCACCGTCCTTGCTCTCTACCTCTCTCTCTTCACATCCAGCCGCTGTTCGAGGTGCGGCCAATCACTCATTCAGAATGGTGTTTGTCAAGTCTCAGAAATCCAAGGCCTACTTCAAGAGGTTTCAAGTCAAGTTCAAGAGAAGAAGAGAGGGTAAGACTGATTACAGAGCCAGGATTCGTTTGATTAATCAGGACAAGAACAAATACAATACTCCCAAGTATCGGTTTGTTGTTCGATTTACAAACAAAGACATTGTTGCTCAAATTGTCTCTGCTAGCATTGCCGGGGATATTGTTCTTGCCACAACTTATGCGCACGAGCTTCCTCACTTTGGTCTTGAAGTAGGTCTTACCAACTATGCTGCAGCCTATTGCACTGGTCTTCTATTGGCTCGCCGGGTTCTTAAAACTCTCGAAATGGACGAGGAGTATGAGGGAAATGTAGAGGCTACTGGAGAAGATTATTCAGTTGAACCAGCTGAATCCCGGAGGCCTTTCCGTGCTCTTCTTGATGTTGGTTTGGTTAAGACCACAACCGGTAACCGCGTGTTTGGTGCACTCAAGGGAGCTTTGGATGGAGGTTTGGATATTCCTCACAGCGACAAGAGGTTTGCTGGTTTTGACAAGGAGAAGAAGGAGCTTGATGCTGAGATTCACAGGAAGTATATCTTTGGTGGACATGTTACTGCTTACATGAAGACATTGATTGAAGACGAGCCAAAAAAATATCAAACTCACTTCAGTCAATATATCAAGAAAGGGATAGAAGCGGACGAAATTGAGGAACTTTACAAGAAGGTTCATGCTGCTATTCGTGCAGACCCTTCAATCAAAAAGTCTGGGAAGCAGCCACCAAAGGAACATAAGAGGTACAACCTGAAGAAGCTCACTTATGATGAGAGAAGGGCAAAGTTGCTCAGTCACATTAAAGCTACACACACCTTACAACAGTTTCGCAACCACAACTGGAGGCATTGACATTTGATGGCAACAACTTCAAACATTGCTTGGACATTTCAGAAATGGAGTGGGCATTTTTTTCTTGTACTATTTTGTTGATTTGCAGGTTTTTGAGCATCATGACAAACAAAAACAACTCAACGTAGCAGCTTGTGATTCATACTTCGGATGCTTTGGCTTAAGAGAGGATAGTTCGACATTGTTAGCGTTATTAACTTGATGTCATGGTTTGATTGTTGCTCTGTTATGGTTGTGATTTCACTGCAGGGACCTTGTTCCGAGTACACAACAACAATCTCAGCGGGTCCAACAACAAAATTCCATTCGCCATTTTGATCGATTTCTATTACAACAGCATAAGGTTTATACGCACAAATACGACGGTATCCATTTCGTCCTGTTTCCGACTTCTCTAATTGTTGTTCTCTCATACCTTGCAATCAAAAAATGAATACTATGTGATATTCGGTTTAACTGTGTTGCATTTTACTGTAATTAAATGGTGGTAAATATGATTTTTAGATGTGTAGATATTATAGTGTGTTGCTACTATTTTGTTGCAATATGTTGCTACTATTTTGTCGGTTGTGATTTCAAAAGTTTTATTAGAACAAATGTGTTGTTGTTAGTAGGCTGCCAGTAGGTTGTAATTATGTTTGACTCCATGTTCACAGTTTATTATTTGCTGTTATACCTCATGGAATGCCTGCTATGACAGGACAATTTTGTTTCCATTCTCTTGCTGTTCGGTGTGGTTTAATTTGTAAATGTTAGATTTCGATTTCGCCTGTTGTTTGATTGTTTGTATTGTGCATATCTTATTGCACAACCGTTTGTGTACCGATGTCGTTATAGCCTTGTAATTTGGTAAAGTTATGTGGTTGTCCTACCGCCGTGATTAATTTGTCAATACTGGTCCGAAGTTGGGTAATTTTTCATGTCATATTTTGTGTGTATGGTTTCAATTAATTGTTGGCGGCACCACAAACACCGGAGCCATTTTATTTTCTGTTTTTTTGGTGTATGCAGGTTATAGATTCGAGATTCGGAAGTTGAAACCGACTCGGTTCATGTCAACAAACATCACAACAACAACATTGTTTCATTCTCAAACAGACAACAGGAAGCAGCATGATAATAACACATGCTTTAATCTGCAGCAGTACTTCCAAGCAACGAAAGATTCAACATCTCGCAGCTTGTTACATCCCGAGCTTACGTTTTGCGATTGTGGTGACAAATGAGTCAGTAGCTCCGATTTGCAATAGAGCTTAGCATTCCAAGTTTGGAGTAAATTCAAGAGATAAAGTGGCCATGTTCATTATTTTGAAAGCAACCTTTGACTGTTTGCCATTCATTTCCATTTTCTACACTATGTTTAGGTTGTGGATAAATTTCTATGCAGGTTGCGATGCCACCGAAAGAGAGTCATCGATGAGAATGAAAGGGAAGATGAGGAAATCTGGATTTCGCACATAGTTCAACCATAATGCCACACCTCATATCCAACAAGTTCGGGTGCCGACACCGTGATGATAACGGTTTTCAGCAGCAGCGGTTGATAGCAGCGAAAACCTATGTCTCAATCAAGATTAACCTCTCTTCATTGCCAACGTTGCTGAGTTGTGACAACTCCGGCAACGACTCCGCGTCCCTTTTGCTAACTGCAGCGATTGTGTAGCAGATACGACACCGACAAAGTTCCTTCTTTGGTAGTATTCCTTGAACTGATAATACCTTGTGTAGACTTGAAGTGGTGCAGAATCTTATCCAACTCTAGCCATTGTTATGCTTTGTTATTAGTTAAGGCGTTGAGTTGGTATTACGTATAACCATGTGATGTGTTTATTTTATATTAATAACTGGTTATGTTTTCAAATAGTATTGGATTTTGCTTACCAGTATCGTAGTAATTCCATAAGCCATGTTATATTGGTGGTTGTTCACCCTTCAAATACGTGTTGTGTGCCTTGGTGCTCATTTTTCTTGTGAGAATTCAATGTCATGTTAGCCACGAGATCATGTTATTGGTGATGCTTATCAGGAAATTCGAATTTCTTTATAAGAAGATCATTAAATAATAACTTTTTATTTTATTGGATAATTGCTAGTTTATGCTGAATTTCTACTTTACTGTAGCATTTTATTTAAGGGTGAGTCGGAGGCACGACCATGTATAGAAATTAGTTGTGAAACGTATTCTGATGTTCTTACTTGGAGAAAATTTCAGAGAAAGAATCAAATTTTCTAAGCAAGGAGGTTATGCTTTTGGTTAGTACAATAGTTGCTGAAGTAACGCGTAGAGCTTGTCTTGAAGTTGCCTCCAATCTCGGGTATCAAGTCTCACAGTTACCCCTTCAATCGGGTTTTTGTCTATTCTCTTTATTCCTTATCTCCATTTGATCAAATGTATCTCACTTCCTTCAAAATGTAATAATTTTTATCGCTTTTTGCGCTTTTATGCTTTAAAGTAATTTTTAAAAAGATTTTTTTTTAAAGGTAGTGTTTTCAAAGTTCGACTAATTATTTCTCAACATATTTAATCTAGATTTTTCCTAATTAAATTATCGAAAGTATTAAATTCTCGGATCTCGCCTTCCTTGAATTTTTGGACAACCGCTCTTGAGGCACACGCCTTGAGCTGTGATTGTTCCGTCTTTCGGTTTTCAAAATGTTTTTTTTTCACTTAATTAAAATTTCTTAAAGATATTTTTAATTACTATTAGATATTTTTAATAAGAAATTCAAATTATTCTTTTAAAAAATATATAAATCTCATCAATTATTACCAAATAAATATTTTAAACTTTTAGAAAATTTTACTTTATTAAATAAGTTAAAATTTTTTTTATTAAACTTTGTTCAAAACAATTAATTATGATTAATTTTTCTCAAAATCTTTTTATAAGCAATTGATTAATTAATTTTTTGAAAATTAAAACTATCTTTCTTAATTAAATTAAACTATTTTTTCAAAATCAATTTTCAAAACAATTAAATTTTTGGATCTCGCCTTCCTTGAATTTTTTAAGCGACCGCTCTCGAGGTGCACACCTCGAGTTGTGACCCTTTCGATCTTATTTTCTTAAATACCTAGCGCGCCTAGTCCGAGTACGCTAATCCATTCAAATTATTTTTCTAAATTAAATCACGAAAGAATCGAGTTCTTGGAGTTGCGCATTCCTTGAATTCAAGTATGATTACTATTGAGGCGTACGCCTTGTATGGTGTGCCATTCAAACTTTCGTTCTTAAAATACCTCCTCTAATTATTTGGATAAGTATTCACTGTCCAACAAATATATTTCATAATTAATGGAATGAAAAAGATGTCGTTAGGATCTAGCACCTCAACGATATCCCGACTAATCGGTTGCGAGACTGACGTCTCGTTTATCGAGTAGTCGTCATTCCTCCTAAACTTCCTACTCGTCTAACCTCGTTCCTCGCCTTCGTGCGATCGAGTCTAAACCCTAGTATGTCTCTAAACCGTACATCAAATTCAAGTTATTTTCCTAATCAAATTACGAAAGAACTGAGTTCTTGGAGTCTCGCACTCCTTGAATTCTTGAGTAACTACTCTTGGGGCGTACGCTTTAGGTTGTGGTTCGCTCAACCTTTCGTTTATAAAACACGTGCCCTAATTATTTGGACAAACATCGTTATTGTCCATTCAAATACATTTTCATAATTAATTGAATGAAAAAGGTATCATTGGGATCCAGCATTCCAATGATATCCCGATTAATCGATTGCGAGACTGACGTCTCGTTTATCGAGTAGTCGTCATTCTCTCTTAAAATTACCTAACCAAACTCCTTTTCTCGCCCCCATGCGATCGAAACCTTAAACCTATTCAACCCAACTATCTTTCCTCGCCTCCGTGCGATTGAAACTTTTCAAACACTAAATCCCTTGCCCTTGCGCGATCCCTACAATTCAAACAACTCCTCTCAAAGAATATTGTTTAATCCCTTCTTCCGCGCATAACAAACTAGTGCTTCAGCCTCCCCTAGCGAGCAGACAAGCCAATGTTTAGCAGTTAGAATGCGACCTAAACACTCGTTCACATACAAACCTTTTACCCGTAGTTAGCCGAACTACAGCTGCTCTGATTCTTCATTCTCTTCTGAATGTAAGATACGTAGGCACAAGATTGCGATGATCTTGGCGAGCACAATCCCCTCTTTTTCCCGTAGTCCCACGAACTACGAATGCTCTGATTTTCCACTTCTTATAAGTGAAGATACGTAGGCACAAGGGCCCCAATCCTTGGCGAGCACCCTATCTTAAAACCACCCATTTCCCCCTATAGGAGAAACCTTAGAAGAAAACAAATAAGCATAGTTAACTTTACTCTCGAATCGATCAAGAGGTTCCCGTTGAGTACAACGGACGTAGAGGGTGTTAATACCTTCCCTCTGCGTAATCGACTCCCGAACCTAGAATATTGGTCGCGATGACCATGTTCTTATCTCCTTAAAGGTTTTATCGATATTTTCCTATTCCATCCTTGGAATGAATAAAGTTCGGTGGCGACTCTGTTTCGAACAGTATTTTCCGCGGCCATCGCGAGGATCGTATTTTTCGAGGTACGACACCTTAAAACCACTGAACTGATGGAGGTCCAGTGTAAAAAGAGTGATTCCTGAATTATAAAAAGTGTGTTCAATCTAAGGGAAGAGTTTAGAAACTTGGGAAATCTGAAAGGTCTCATGGTAAGAGGAAAAATTAAAATGAGCAAAATGTATATGAAACTACGCGAGCATGGCCGCCGGTAGAATGGAAAACTTTGGTCTATGAGAATAACGCGAGACCGAGAGCCAATTTCATTTTGTGGCTTGCTTGCCAAGAGCGATTAGCAACGAAGGACAAACTGCTTAAGTACGGTATGTTGTGTTAGAACACAGATTGGTTCTTAATAATACCTCTATGTTTTGATGATAACTATTATGAAATTTTGTAATTAAGAATTATATACTCTAAAATTTGCTTGAGTATTTTTACTGCAGATAGTAA